TATTTCGACTAAAAAGAAGCTTTTAGCGGCTCTGACCAGTAGTAAGCCCAGGACCAAAGACGTCACATTTTGCGCGCTTTCGGTACTGTGGGTCGCTCCCTTCGGCGAAGGAGGTTTCCGCGTCGTCCGGTTAAAATATGGCGCACTGATATTTAGTTACTCTCCCCGTGCCCGCTGGCTTGCCCGAACTCCAAGAGACTTAGAAACCGCAAAAAAGGTAGACGCTTAAATATGATTGCAGGGCCCCTTTAAGTACAAAATAAGCGATTTGATAACAGTATCCAACATAAGGAAGGTAACACAGAGAAGGGGACAGACAACAACAATGACTTCTAACTTGCAACAACATTTATTGGCCTGAACTTACCATATATAGGAGAAGGAAAAAGAGGTGAGGGTGAAACATTACTTTTTTTTTCTCTTGTCACTGTGGCAGCTTTCACTTCCCCCTTTTCCCTCCTTCACCTATATATGTGAACTTCGGGTCAGTAAATGCATTTGCCAATAGACAATATGCGAAATGCATAGTGCCATCTAGTGAGGCGCCGAAGAGCATGCTCTGTCTCACTAGCTGGTTTCGGTGCTGGCAAAGGCCAGGGTGCAAAAGCGTAGTTCTGAAAAATCCTTTACTCGCACAAACATTCGCGCAGAGAAAGCGCTTTCGAAAACCAGAAGCCCAAGCCCGCGCCTTTGCCGGCACTCAAAGCCAAATTTCAAGCTGAAGTTTATGTCTGCCATGTTGGTTGCGGCGAGAAACCAGCGACCGGTGTGGCAATAAGCATGTACATGCGCAAGAAAGGCGTCAAACAATACTAACCCTTAGCTCGCAGGTGTGAATGAGGAGCGATGAGAATGAGCAGTAGGCCGCAATCGCTACCGACAACGCTATGAAAGTGACAAACAGCAGAGAAATCTCGACGCAACAAAGATGGCAGCGCACAGAGTGTTGCCAGGCGTTCAAACAATTTCGCATATTGTCTATTGGAAGTCATTGTTGTCCATCCCCTTCTTTAAGTAACCTTCCATATGTTGGACACATATTTTTTGCATATTGATGACCTATGAAGCACCCATCCCTAAATTCTGAGGAAATGTCTAGAAATTTTGAGTGGGCACTTGCTCAGGATTTTACGGTACACGGGTTTATGTTGGCAAGTCATGCCTATATGTGGTTTTGTTTGCTGTAGTTTCTTATCAGTGTTTTACGGTAGTGTCATAGCTGGTATTGGAAGACACTTCACTCTCTGCTTCTCTACAAGCCCCTGCCTCAAGTTACGCAGCAAAGTCATAGCGCTATCTGCTTTCCTTCGCAAGGGTTTGTGTGGGGTGACAGAAGAGGTTGTCGCTCTTACCATCCAAAATGGTATGCCCCCTCCCCCCACCTCAGCCAATGTCATGAAACAGACAATGCACAGGGGCATCTCTATGAAATCATTTTTGCACCAGCGACTTTAAGCCTGTGCATAACACTTGTGGCAGAGGTATCTAATGAATTCTTCACCTATTGTAAGAGTTTGTGGTTTGTTAAAGGGGCCCGGCGATCATATTTAAGCATCTACCTTTTTTGTGGTTTCCACATCTTGACAACTGTTTCAATCACTTATGAAAGTAGCTTTTGTTCAGTATTTTAGATCAGAAAAGAAACAAATGCAGTTTATAAAGTACGGAAACAAGAAATGACCCGTCGACATACCCGCCACCAAGCAGTGGAAAAGGCTGCGCATACTAGAAAAGGGTAGTGGGATGAGGCACGAACGAGCAGTGAGTTACAAAGGTCCCGGATGTACGCGGCGGCGCTGTGGTTGTATACCGGCTCGAGGATACAACCGGTTCCGAGCGTTCTGAAGGCCTTCGAAGCAGGTTTCGCTTGCGGTTTGGCCGTTGCGCGGTATGGCAGCGCGAAGTGGCTCTTGTTCTGAACTGATCTTTACCGTATGTTTGCTGTCGTTTGTGGCCAATGAAATGTCATGCCGAATTGGTGTTTAATTGCGCAGCACATGTATTGCGAGCCACCCTGGCTGCCCGCTTCATATCCAGAACATGCTTTAGTGGCGTCCTCTTGAGCCGTCAAAACGGAGTGCGGCAGCCGTGAGCGCTCGCTGAGCTCGCTACCCCTTCTCTAGTTCACGGCCACTCAAGCGACCAAGGACGTCATGAAGGAGGTTATTTTTTGCTTGTTTTTGTAATTTTAATTTGCCTATAACTTCTAAAATAAAGCGAAATTCGAGTTACTACGTTCAATGCGCTCAGGTTCGGTGCAAATTAAAAACCAGTAAAAAAAGTCCTTGCAGGGCCCCTTTAAGAGTGCAACTATCTTTCGTCTGGACTGGTAGGAAGTTAGCGTAAGCACACACATGCTGTGATTTCGGGTCTTAACATGGAAGGTGTTATAGGGCTTGCTTCCAAGTCTAGGGCATGATAAAAACAATAAACATGGCTGGTAAATTTAGCGGGCGGGTGGAGGTGTAAATAGTCAGTGTACATCAGTTTTGTTAGATATGATCAGAGTAATATGTTGTTCAAAATGTAACCAGCTTTTGTGTGGGCTAGCGAGGGCGTAACATTAATGAAGTGTGATTTTTTAGCAAAGAGTCCTACCATCCTCCTGCTGATGGGAGGCCAAAGAGTAAGCATATTCGGTTGTGCGATTTTTGTATTTGTTGCTAAAGGTGCAACAATCGTCTCTGCTAGGTCAGCTTGTTCAATGGGCTTTCAACACGTTGGCTGGATTCGCTCTTGTACAGGCGGCATCAAAATGAGCTGGCTTGTCGCCACACCGGCCGGAGTGGCAAAAATCTCACATGTGGTGCCACTGTCGCGATAGCACTGAGAGCGAGGCTGGAACGGACCACCGAGATTTCATGCATGGGCGAGGCTCCAAGGTTGGGAGAACTCGTTGCAGGGCCAGCTGTTGGTTTTGATGCATCATCACGCCTGTCATGTTTTCTTTGTTTACAATCAGTTGTTGTTGGCTAAATGCACAGCTTATCATTACCATTAACCTCCCCCTTGCATAAAATCACAGCAGCCTGTTCCAGTCTTGCTCTACACGGCTTATCCCGTCAGGGGTAAGCTGAATCTGGCCGTCGCTCCACCTCATTTTGATGCTGACTGTACCTGGGATGTTTCTGTGGTTACGGTACACAGCTTGCATGTGACGTCATTCTCAGCCATGCCAATATTTTATGCGCCGCGAGCGTTCGGTTCGTCGTGTTAGCTTCACACCACATAAGTTGTAGTTTGAAGAAACCACTAACTGGAACAATCTGTCAGTAACCAGCAATGGCGACACTTGCGAGCTATGTGGGAGCTGCAGGTGCACAGCAGGTGCTCAAGTGCTGTCAGGTTGTTCATTACACCACACGTTTAACGCTTAAAACTGCAGAGGTGCTCAGTATACTCAGTGTACTATCAACTCTTGCCTCTCCCAGTTTGAAGCCCTTAATGTCAACAAAATTATGTCACACTCTTCTTTACTGACTCATTTGTTCAACTGTTCAGATGTCTTCTCTCTCTCTCTTCTTCTTTTTTTTTTTTTTTTTCTTGTAGTAGGCAGAGCGCTAAAATTGTAAAGGAAATTCGTAGAAGCCTAAAAAAGGGATATAAGGTTCCGCTAAGAGACTTATTCCTTTTGCGTTGCTCACGCTAGCTACCATGATCCCCCACCCCTTGGCGCGAGTTCAAAGCTTTTTAGAAATTCAAACAAAACATTGTGTGCGTCCGTGCGCGCGAGCTTTATTGGGGAAGGTGTCATACGTACGTACATGAAGCTACGTCCACTGCTTTCGTTGCGCGAGCACTCGAGAAGCGGAAACACCTGCCTGGACAATGGGCACCCACTCTTACCTTCCCCAGAGCAAACTTTACGACTAGGCGATTAAACCGTATATGTAGAAGACACACTCCAAACCTTATAGTGCAGAAGAGGAGCGCAGCTGCAGCTTAACCGTCGACGGCCGCCATTGATAATAGAGAGTTTTAGGGAACCGTTTTTGCACATCCGATACGGTACGATGGGCCCTCCGGTACGAACTGCGCATGCGCCTGCCTTCTGCGATCTTACCGTAATGCGCTGGTGGAACCGTAAGGCACGACCGGCACGACCAATGGCCGACATGGACAGTCTCGCTTGGTTAGCAAAACGGCGATTTCGCTGGCGGAGAGAGCGTGCCGTGGCTCCAAACATGAAGAAAATAAATCGTGGCAATGCCTGGCGGGAGCGCCATGTGTGACAGCAAGTTCATAAAGTTTGAGTCAGCAAAAAAGAAAAAGAATAAAGAACAAAACGCAATAGGACTTTTTCAATAGAAATTAATTGGTGTTTAGCGCAACCAAAAATCGTGTGCTCGGTAGCACAGTGGGTAAGAGCGCCGATTACTTGTGTTCGTAGAGGACCAGTGGTGGAGAGTTCGAATCCCGCTGGCTCAAACACTTTTTTTTTTTTTTTTTTTACATATTAAATATTAAGTTTTTTTTTTTTGTTCTTTTTATACACACATTGGATGTGCATTTTGAGCACTTATCACCCGTTTTTTACAGCTGCTGTTATGACTGAGGATTATCTGTAGTGGCAACAGAGTGAGCAACAGCCTTGTGCATCAAGGCTCTGGATACTTTTTAGTTTAAAAAATGTAGCATGAATTAAAAATTTCTGTACAAATGCTAATCACATATATCCTATAAAACGAGCCCTTTGAATATTGGGTGATAGTTCTAATGAGTGCACAGCAGTAAAGTTACAGGTTTCCCTTTATGTTTTCTTCGTGGTCGTACCGTACATGGCGCAACGATCGGTACGCGGGCGTACGACCGTGATCGTCTGCTATCTGTACCGTAAAGGGCCGCCCACACTAGCGAGAAAACGCGCGTGGCACGCCGATCGCGGCAAGTAACAAAATGTCGCCGAAGCACAGTCAGCGCCACGAGCGCGTGCAGACACACGCCCTTTATCTTGCCGCTTAACCGATTTATCGGCGCGCCGGGCGCGTTTTCTCGCTAGTGTGGGCGGCCCTTTAGAGAGCAACATGAGCGCCGCATCTACCTCCGTCCCTCCGCCTCCTGCTCGCAAGCGATTTACAGCAGTAGACGATATCTTTCTACTTCGGGAGGTGCTAGGCGCCAATCCTTTTTTGACTCCAGCTCTTTGGAATGACGTCCTCAAAGGCTTAAACGCCGCGTCGAAAAAGAACTTCTCGTTGCGAGGAGCGAGGGAACGGATCGACCTCCTCGTAACTTTGTACAAGAAAAATGACCGCATCAACTTGAGAAAGTGAGTATATTTTGGTTATTTTTGTACTTTCTTCACGATTTAATATTTCTAGTTTTATTTGTCCATAGCTTTCTTAATACTCGGCCCTGCAGTGGGCCTCGAGGGAAAGAGACAGGATCGCTAGCAGACGACTTCGAATGTTGATGATAAGCGCGCGCGAGCGTGTTCTTGTGCCAAATCAAGTTTGCTGTCGGCAACTTTTCAGCATATCGGGACGTGGTTGGTGTAAACATCATATTTGGTTGATGTAAAACACCAAAGCTTGCCCGCTGAAAACTCATGACGTATTAGAAAACAAGTTACCATGTACGGTCGAGGCATTATTTTATTCCCCGAGTATATAAATCAGGTAAACCAAAAGAAAAAAAATACGGTGGAAAACGAGCCGCACATCATTCGTGGTATCACAACTTTTTTTTATTTACTTAAAAGCTTTCAGCAACAGAACCCTTCCGTGCCTTCCTCCTTATCAGTGGCTTCTCTGCAATATAGATGCAGAGAAGCACCACTTACAGGCAGGCAGGCAAGCAGCGTTTATGTAAGAATAAATCTGCTTTAACCAAAGCTTTCACGCCAGTATCCACAAATAAAACAGCGTTTGCTGCCAGAGCATCCAATGAACTGTGCTTCCAAGTACATTGCATGATTGACTAGTACACTTTGACTGCCACCACACCGAGAGTATTAGCTAGAAGTTTTAGCAACAACTATCTGTGTCATACGCAAATCACAAGTTCGTCTGCTTCTTTTGCAGGGGTTGTGGTGATGTCAGAACGCCCATCTCTGATTGGCCCTGATTGAAGAATAGTGGTTAGACCTCAAGGCAGCTTGCTTTCAGGACTACCTACTAATCTTCAGCCAGAGCCAACCAGAGCTCAGCGTTGTGACATCACCACAACCCCTGCAAAAGAAGCAGACGAACTTGCACTCCGCATATGTGTCAGACCTTTACAGCCTTACTTTTACTATATATTTTGTCTCCTCAACAATTACAGTTTTAAGTAATGTCTAAACTCAATATATAAAAGGTTAGGTGAGATCTATATTTTTCTTTTTCACTTCTGGTATTCGTGCTCCTACAAGCGAGCGTACAGAGGAATGCCTGCAAATTACACTTTATACGATACATTAAAAATCGCACTGTGCAAGCTGCCTGTATACTACATGTGATACCAGTGCTTCACATAGATATTCAGCAAATCATGGTTCTATACTGTAATTACATTTATTGCTTGGTTATGGTGTTTTGTAGTGAACCTCCAATTGTTTCTTTGTTTCCTATACCTGCACATCAAATTCTTAGTCTAGAATGTGCTTCATGATGTTTTTTATAGCTGATCTCATCAGCATTTCACAAGCTCTTAACAAAACCTTACCACGAGAACGTAAATGTTTGATCTAAACACTTGTAAAAAAATTGACTCGTGGTGGGTAAAATGGGTAAGGTAAAAACTCTACATAATCTTTTGTTAATAAGTACTTCCTCATATCTGAATATGATATGAGTATGTGGAGAGTCAGATATGACAATTTGTGGAAATAAGCAAAGAAAATAGCACAGATCAAAATTTGGAGTTGAAACATTTCCTAGATTAGATCTGTGAACTGTATTTAAGATATTCAGCCTCGGACTCCTCATTTTGCCACAAATTTGATCTGACACATCGTTTACGTATATGCTGAAGCACTTTATGCATGATTTCGAGAAAAGTAGACATATGGGCTTTTTCATAACATGTTGAGTTAGACACTGCAAAGAGGCTAGATGGAAAAAGTTGCATGTGTACTGCCACACATTCTCTGAAGGTAAAACTTGTGCTACTCGTGCTTAACTCACCAAGCCTAGGGTCTGGAGACATGTTTTAATAAAAGGTTTAGGCCGAAATAGTTTACTTTGTTTTAGTGACACCAAATGTTTTTATCATAAGAAAGGCAAAAAGTTTCAGCGTACTTTTAGGTACAATGATGTTTCTATTGCTAACAAAAAGCTTTTTTTGAATATTCTAAAGCAGCAGGCATGTATTTCACTTCCAGATCAGGAACTGAAGAACAATTTGACGAAAAGGCACGCCTTCTGCTTGAGTGCGTAGCACTTTATGATGAGTTTGGACGAAAGCCAGGTTTGTTCCGTGCAGCTTTGATTCTCAAGGTTGTTTGTCTGAGGAGGTCCTTATATACCACAAGAATGTTTGTGCTTGAAAACAAAAAAGCTTACGAGTTATTCCTGCAGATATTGCAATTATGTAATTATGTGGCCTCAGGCTATTCAGTCCGAGTGTATTTAAGCTTCATATTCCGAGGCCATGCTGCTGACAAAACAATCCAAAGAGGCAAGACAATTTCTAAAGCTACCTTTTTAATTGAAATTAAGTTGTGTAGCACCATATTTTTTTACTCTTGTGTGTGAATTGACTTGTGTTTGATGATTAATTTGTTTCATTAATTTCGTTAAGGTGTGTACATTTGGCAACCATTTTTTTTTTGTTTTTGCTTTTGCACCATATATCATATTTTGTATTCTGTTTGTTTACTTTCTGTGAAGTAATAACCTTCAGCTGCCTACGAAACAGGTAGATGACTATCCTTTCTAGGTATGTCAAACCTGGAAAGAGTAAGAGCACCAAGAGACATTTTGTAAGTGGAACGCGCTAGCTTTGTTGCTGTCTTACTTGTCCATTGTCTCTTGGCACTGTTATTCTTTCAAGTTATTCATGCAACTTTGTATGCACATATTATTGCAAGTGTTTGTCGGTCTACTGCACAGCTTATCCTCACTGTTGTAGAGTGCATTGTTTGGTGCTTCATGATTGGGGCGGTCGAGCTCAGACTGACACAGTGTTCATCTTGCAAGCTATGTCTCCTCTGTCATATATGTTTAGGCTGTTGCAATTAACTAACAATGCTCATAATTTATCATATCTTACACTTCAGAAGAGAAGCCATTTCCAGTAGGCAGAATCATTTACTCAAACCCCAGGAAGAGTTTTGTTTCAACTATTATAAGCTTAATTTATTAAAGAGCCATCTAAACTTAATGCAAGATAAAATTATGATTTGCTCTATGGTTGGCTACACATACAAAGCAGATATTTGATGACTTCTTCTACAAAGCTTTACTAATATCATAAGCAGGTATGCCACACAAGGAACATTGGCAAAAGGTATGACATAGCTCATGTTGAAAAAACGGCGCGACTGAGATGAGGACAAAAAGACGAAGATAAGAGTTCATGTTTTTTCAGCACAAACTCTTATCAATTAACCTGCCTAGTTATCTATGCTTATCAAATGTATGACATAGGCTTATTCATCCCTAAAGAAATGTTGTTTTTCATTTACTGTTTAGACAGCATACGACACCTCAAAACAAAATTAAGTTGTTTTATCTAAGAATAAAGTTATCTATTGTGGACTATTAAGCAGGAGACGGATGAGCGATAAAAACGGGTGCCGCGCGGCAGCTCCCATAGCAACTTGCGCGGCTGCTGTGACGTAGACCTAGGACTGCGTAAGGTGCTATAGAAACTACCACGCGGCACCCGTTTTCATCGCTCATGTGTCCCCTGTTTTAGCACCATTGAGCGTGCTTCGAGCAAAGATTCACTGCCGGAAGCAACACCCGCGAAAGCGAGCTCCGCGAGTGTTGTTTTTCCGCAGTGCACCAGATGCTCGGAAAGAAGCACGCTCAACGGGGCCGCATGAAGAAAAAGTATGAATTACACGAAAACACCGTTTGAATTAAGCGGCCTATTAAAAACATAGCGGGATAACCAAATGTTCCCAATTTGTTTGAATATTATTTAATCAAAAGTATGAAATATTTGAGTTTGAATTATCGTGAGCGTACTGTAAACCCTAATTATTGTACTAACTTTTGCCAACTTTGTTGATTCTATTTTATATTGGCAGCAAAAACATTGAAGGGTAAAAGGCCAACAAGTAATGCAGCCAGCCAACAACGGGAGGAGGCAGTGAGTTGGATCATGCAAGAGAGCACAGGAGGAGGTAGTTGCCTTTAGCCCATGGTGTTTCTCTACAATGACATTTTTGTTTTATGAAACTTATTTTTTATGATTATGATCCTTTAAATATTGGCAATGTTAATATAAGGTTTGAACATCAATTGTTTCCCCATGCTCTGAAGAACTGCGCTATATTAGGGAGTTAAAAAACGAGGAAACCACGATATAGGTCAGCTTCACGAAACAAGTTTTCATTCTGCTAAGTCATGTGCGGCCATGATGTTGAATGTTTTCTGCAACCTGCCTTATTCCTTCACTTGTTAGAGATTTTTCATTGGTGTCGTTTTAACAAAAATGTGTTATAGGTCTGGTTTAATGCGAAAAGAGACACATTACGCACGAGTGGTGCGCTCGACTGACATCTAGGTCAAGGTTATATAAGGAATATATCCCTATAGAGGCTATATTCTATGACCCGTATCAAGGTGTCACGTGATACCCTGACATGAATTAAAAGTGCACAAAAGCCGATGACTTTGTCCTCGTCTGTTGTGCACTTTTAAACCAGAATGAACAGTTGCCAACTAACTCAGTTTTCAACCCTTCTACAACCTGAAATCACATGAAATTGTGACGTCGCTTGACACTACGACGTCATGTGACACTGCGATGTATGTGGCATCATAAACACACATAGCATGTGCCCAGCTCATTCACTACACATTCGGTGTGTCTCTTGAGTTTATCAGATATGATCAAGACATCCCAGTTTTTTTGTTTTTTTTTTTCGGTGAAATTCAGAGGCATGGTGAGTGCTTTCACCAGTGACAGAACTGAAGAAGTAAAGTACTTGTTTGGATCACATAAACCTATAGTTAGTGTAGCTTGTTTTTTTCTTCGTTGCCGCCCCGCCATTATTTACTGGACTCATTTTGGCCACTGAGGAGTCGACTTCTCGAGGACTGACCGATGGTCCTTAATGTTCCTCACTGCCCTGGGTGATTCAGTGGATCACAACACAAGCGAGCTCGAACTATCTGAAAAACACTGCCTCTGTGCATAAATCAAATAAGGCAAAGGATCCCAGCATGGATTTTGGTAAGAATTCCAAGTCGGAAATATGTCACGCAAAATATCTTTATGTTCATTAAAAGAAAAAAAAAACATTTGATTGCAGAAAAAACCATTCTGCATTCACTTGTGCCAAGGCTGTTGTAGCATGGCTTGCGACTTCATGAGATGATCGACACTCATACAAGTTGTAGGATCTTGATGTACCCCCAAAGACAATATGAACCGAAACACCTGATCCGCAATTTTCTTGTGTGGTCCTCACAAGCTTCCTTTTCGTTCAATCTGTCAAACAGTCGTAAGTATAGGAGCTTAACTTTGCATTTCATTCCTGGTTCGGGCCACAACTTACCCAAAAACTGGCAGGTATGCCAAAGAAACATAAATGACTGTTTCAGCTCATATTGTTTGCAATAGTATATCCCACTAAGTGTTAAATGGCTGCCATCTCAGAACAAAACGGAGGGAATGTAGGATGATTGAAAGAACCATAGGACTGTTTACTAATAAATGATAGCATATGTGTAGCATGAACTTCATTGCTGCTTTTTAGTTAAAGTTTGTGAGAAAGCCTTGCATTGTGGCATTATTGTGCAGCTGATGAAGGTGACCAAAGTGCCACTGCACTGCTGGAAGAAATCTATGCGGTGCCCTCAGATGGAGAAGAGGAGGGGATGGCACCAACCGAACCCTGCAGCCAGGAGCCTACCTTCTCAGGGATCTTGCGGTCGAACGGCCTGACCTCAGCTGAAAAACATCCAGCACCTGCCACTAGGCCAACACTGCAAGGCATGACGTTCAGCAACCATGCAGTCGAAAGTCATATTGCACAGATAGACCCTAAACTGTCTAGAGATACAAGTTAGGCTTTTATGATAATGATTTTAACTCCCCCTGTATCGCTGTCATGTAGACAGAGTAGGTCCAATACACTTCACTGCCATTGGTCACAAATTTAAGTAACTGCAGCACAGCATGAAATCCATTTTGTTGCGAGTTTTGTCCCACGTGGGCAAACCTACTACCAAAAAATGTTCTTGTGGTGAAATTGTGCTTGAAATATTTATACGATAGACCCATAACTCTTTCACAAAAACAAGTGCATTTGAAAAACATACGAATGTAGTATTTTCCTAATAATCTGAAATGATTTAGTATCAGCCAGTATGTGAGCCTAAAGAAATGCCATAACTGATATGTATTAGGGGAGCTCTCTCTTGCTAGCAATGCATAGAAATTACATCGAGCACATGCAGAGAACCCTTTCTAAAAAAAGAAAAACAAAGGCTGATTTTAATAGTACAATCAATAATTGATAGCTTATAACTTCATAAAGAAAACAAGTTTTTTTATGATAGCATGGTCTAATATTAAATCATTTGGTTGCTAAAGAAGGCACGAAGAAACTATTATGAGGCAAATATTAGGGAGGACAGAGAGAATCTTAACCGAGCAGTCCCAAGTTATAGTTATGTGTGCATTATTTATTGGCTTACAATACAATTCCCAGGCACAAGGGGTATGTCTAATTCCATCTCGCATATCGCCATGCAATTAACTAAAATCACACCTGCATCCAAGCTACTGAGTTATGACGACTTGCAAATGATGATGTGAATGTATAGGTATTCATTTTTAATATAAACTATCAGTGTCAATCACTGCAACATGCAATAATGTGTAAAATAATATGTTTTGTAGATATAACCTTGTACTTTTTATATTGTATGCAACATATAATGCCTTATCCTTGGTTTACATGTGCATTTTGGCCATGTCATGTGCACAAAAAACCTCTGTTTAGGTGCCCTAAACCAGAATAATGCTGTTATCAGACCCTAGATAAAGCGTAAACTAAATTGGTGTGGGATTTGACCACTCTGCAGGTATGTAGAACCTTTCTAGGAATGTGGCTGAGGGTCAGCTACATTGCCAGTGCCGCACTGGGATTCGTAATGAAATGAGGGGAGCACAAGGATGCACAAATGCTCTGGGAAGCCAAAAAGCGCATATATTCAACCCCAAAATGTTTTATGAACTGCAGTTGTCAAACGTGTTTTCAGGTTCTAAAAAAAGGATATTATTCGTGATTTCTTAAGAGGGTACTGTAAAATACCAAGCATGAACCCCTATCCCAATAAGTGCCTTTCTGCTACCTACGGATGAAAGAAAAATATGCAAAAGGCACGTCAGGTGCCCAGCACAGACCTCAGAGTCCACCTGTACACCGCCTCACTAAAGCTGTGCAGTACGGCCAAGGCTACAGTGGCGACAGCGTATCCGAACCTGTTCAAGAGGAGGGAAAAAACAACAGGAGAGAAGCTGGGAATCCCAGCCTTTCTCTTCTGTTCCTCCTTTCACTTCTTTTGAATAGGTTGGGATATGTTGCACTGCCTTAGTGAGACGAAGTATAGGCTATAGCTAGGGCTCCATGTTTTCGGATAAATCCAAAAAACACCCGCCGGTAAAATTTCTGTCAATTCGGATTTATCCGATAAACTCCCAATTGTTATGTGCCCATGCCAGCCCCCCCCCCCCTCCCGTCCCCTCCCCCCCTCCCCCAACAGCAACAAAAAAAATATGTTTTTTTGAACAATTTGAGCAGCGCAGGATTAATGGTCCTGGGTAAATGACACCCTCCCTAATTATGTTTGAAGCCTCGGACCGTTGCCAAAAGGTGGTCTTACGGCTTGCCTCGTCAAGGTTGGTTCAGGGAAACAGGTCATCGTACCATTCGTGTCACGACAAAAGCCACTCTCTTGGTTTTCAGTTTGGGCCATGGGATTTGGGATTTAGAGAAAGCAGAGGATATGTTTCTGGGGGTAACAGTGAAAGCTATGGACCATCGAGATTGTATAGGGAAGAGGGGCAGTTGAAACTTCTCTATTACACTCCACCTTGCACGGCCGCGGGATAGATTGATGGGATGACTACGAGCTTCTTGCGGCTACTTCCGGCAGTTTATTGATTTTAAGCTATCGATGTTGATCGAAGCCACACTTGTGTGCGAATTTTTTCGTGGGACCAATTAGTATTTCCAATGACAACAATGCCAAATTCAACTGAAGAAATGTTACCTAATTGATACAAGCGCGTTTTATTTTTTATCTGGCATATGTTTGCATCCGGTTATTAGTTATTATTTTTTGATGGGAAACACTGCGAAATTAATCTCCGAATTTTTGAAAATTGGGGGTTTACGAAACAAACCCTGATAAACACCCAATTTTCGCTAAAAAATAAACTCCTAAAAACACCCTCCGAATTTCACGAAAAATAAACTCCGAAAACACGGAGCCCTAGCTATAGCTAACCAAGACACTCCGCCATATCAGCCGCTTCTCCTAGCACACTGGTGCGAAGCAGTGAAACTTACCCTATCATGTCTTCCTTTAGGAATTTTCTTGTCAAACCGACCTCCCAGTTTTTCAAGATTATCTCCAACGTTTCTGTGGGTACTTGCTCGGTATTGTGTGGCATATATAAACATACCCTATACGAATCTATATGGTAGAATTTCTGAGAGCTCTGGACTACCATGTGGCAATTTTTGTTGTTTGAAAGGCAGCCTACAGCTGTTTCATGGGTTTAGGAACATTATTGTGCACCTTAATTTTTGACAGTTTGTTACGGAAGCCCATATTCTCGCAGCTTTCTGCATGAATAGTAATACGAAACATTATATTCTTTAAACAACCCATCTATGGTTTTAGGGTGTACCCATTGGTATTATAGAAGTGATTAAAAATTATTCTCACCTCGGTTATCTTAAAACTTTGCTGGTCACAGTAGCTTATTATCAGTGCTTTTCATACAAGCTTTCTGTGTCACAAGTTGCTGCTGTGTAGGTTTGAACGTGTACAGTCAATTCAGCTGTGTGTGAGGTGCGATAAAGTGTGACTGCTTTAATCTTAGTTCACACCAGCGGGGGAGACAGTTTTTGTGATCTGAGGATCTGTCTGGCGAAGATATTTATCGAATACTTTGGCACTGCACAAAGGAAGTGTTTCGTTGCGAAGTATGTTGAACGGGTACAGAAGTTTAATGAAGGACGCACAATTGTCAGCCATAAGTAGGGTTCAGATTTTTGCAATATATCCTAAAAACTTCGACAAATGCTCGCTGGAACAGTTTTGTCTTTTTGGATTTATCCTAAAAGCTCACAACTTAGAGGTGACGATGGCAAAATGGAAAGCAAAAAAGACATTTTACTTATAAAGTTTGTCAAGCACAGAGTTGGCACTTCTGAAATGAGGCCACTTCATTTTTTTTCATCTTGAGTTATTAACAAAATGAAGTTCCACTTTTATCCTGTCAAGGTTCGTAGAGTACAAGTCATTGTATTTTTGGGTCGTGACAAGTAACTTTTCTAGTTTCCAGTTTGGACTATACTACATGTGGTTCTTCGATAGAGGAAGAGGGCTGTATTGTTATAACAGTAAAAAAACTTGTAGAGTGTATAAAACGGCAGCTGAAGCTTTTAAGCTTCCCAATGAGTACGTTCAGGAGTTTGGATATTTCAAAGTACTGATGATTATTGAAGCAACACATTTTGCAAAAGTTCTCGTGGGATAGTTGGTACTCCCAATTGCAAGGGCGTGTTATTGTCAAATGCCCTTGCAGAAATATATTTCGATTCTGGGAGCTTTTATCACCTTAGGGTATGTTTTTGTCCAGTAATTATTTATTTTAATTTTGAAGTTTGACAAATTTAAAACACAGGAAATTTAAACCCCGAATTTCAAAAAATTGGAAATTTAACAATTATAAACTTTGATAGACACCGAATTTTTAGCTAAGAATAAACTCAGAAAACACGGAATAGTAGCCATAAGCAAGGAGCCGGACGCCCATCTGCGTTCACAGCTGATGATGACAGTGAACGTTCACGTGAAATGATTTTGTCGGATAGACGAGCGACAGTCGATGATGTAACAAATCATTTACAAATCAGTCAGGGCATTGTCTAAGCAATACTCCATGAGAGGTATGGGTTTGAAAATGTTTTGATTAAAATAAATTCTGCTGCCAGAGTGTAGATAATGTGTTATTCACCCTCAAGATGCCTTAATACTGTAGTTATGTATATGTATCAATATTAATTTATTGCTTTATGTTCTGTGCAGGTGGTAGAAAAAGAAAGCTCAGCCGGGGGCTTGAGTTTCTTGATATGAAGTTTCAGGCCAAGAACCGTGTCATGATTGAAGAGCAAAAGCTAAGAAAGGAGCAGCAGAAAATCGAAAATCGCCGTATCGACTTAGAAGAGGCACGAGTCAGCCTGGAGAGAGAAAGGCAGACGACAGATGGCGAGCTGGCCCACCGAAAGCTCATCATGGAGGAAGAGGACAGGCTCCACCAGCGGCAGCTGATGACTCAACAGGCCGAGATAATAGAAAAAATGGTGGATCAGATGGTGGAAACAAACCAGCTGCTCCACCAGCTCCTCTCCAAAAAGTCCGATTAATAAGCTTTTTTTTTGTCAGGACTGTGCACTCTAGAGTAGCAAACAGGACATTGCGGAGAGGGGGGAAGGGAAGCAGAAAGAAAGGCTCCCTGTTTGAAAACTTTGTTTGGTATCCTTCTCTAAATAAAGTTCAGTTCGAAAACTAGTATTCAGCGTAATGTAAAAACAATTTTCAGATTTCTTGGTCAAGAATTTAAGTGTCTTTCTTCCCCATTTTTAAGCAATGAAGACGTCTTAGTTAACAAAATGTTTCAGCAGATATGTAACCATAGAGAGTTCCAAATTCTCCTTTATGGGAGCTGCAGAGCAGCCAGGAGAGGCGTGCTTATGGGGCTGAAGTGACCCCCATCACTCACCAAATCATAAGCATCTCCGCATGTCTCCCCCCCCCAAAAAAAAAGGTGCTGGCTATGCCACTGTATAAATTCGCAAACTATCCCGTGCATCTACTCTCCGGCAAAGCACTGGGGAGAGCGAGCCAGTCATGAAAATATCTTGAAGAGCTAAAAAAAGAGTCTGTGCTGTGACGCTGAGCATCATGTAAGCACACAAAACATTATGCTGAGTGTCACAATGCAAGCTGTTTCTTAAGTATAAAAAGCAGTAAAAAAAAGTACTTTAAGCTGTGCCATTTCGCTTAAATGTCATTTAACGTGCCCGTCTGACAGGGGTATTAGAGGCATACTGCTTCTTTTTTATCACATGTTGAACAAGAGTTACCAGGACGATTACTATTACCTGTTATCTGTCGAGCTTCGAGATCAGGCTCCTTCTCATCTCCATGACAAGCGTTCGTAGTATTGGCTTCAGTTCTCACAAATTTGAAGTACTCTATTTCACCAAGCTCAAATATGATGTATCAAAAAGACCATCACGAGAATCCTGATGGTCTGATGGAGTCATATTTTGGGATGTCTGATGGTTGAATGACCTGTCATATTTTGGGACGTCCATTTATTTTATGGTTTGATTATGGTGGTTTCATGGCTAATTTGAAACAGTTCGAGTTGGCCACCACTTAAACAAATGGTTGAGTGCAAAGCATGACAATATGTGAATGCATAATGTGGAAACTAAATTACGCCATGTCTGGAGCCTGACGAGGTGCATATCCCACTTAGAATTGATTTATATTGTCCACTGCACATTGGTAATTGCCAGCCTGACATTTGAGTACGGCAAATGCAGCTACTAATAAGAAGAAAATCAAACAAACTGCGTTGCTTTGATATTTTATTATGAAGTTATGAAATCATACATTGTTTCGCTGGGAGGAATGGCAAGGTGGTACAGAAAAACCGGAAACATTTGAGGACGTACTATCGTGTCCAATATTAGTTGAAATGCCATGACGCATGGCATGTGGTACTATCACAGCCCCCTGTTGGATTTTTCAGCGAACCTGTGTTTGCTGAGGTTTAGGCAGGTTGCTTCTTGCACTCATTGCGCCGCTATGAGCTGGAAATTGACACGGAACGGCATAGCGGTCCAACGAGCACAAGAAGCGATTTCTCTCTACCTCAGCGCATACCGCGGTTTGCTGAACAATCTGAGAGACTACTCTCATATTATTGCGTGCCACGCGTAGTGGCATTTCAGCTTGTATTGGCTGCAATAGTACCTTTGTTCGATTTCAATAGTATTTGCAATATATAAATTAAGCTAAATTAATATAAAGAAAAGGGTAAAAAGGCTACAACATGGGGTGCAAGTGATGGCAGCCCTGCAACAGCATGGGCAGTCCGTGGTGGGACCGCGCATCGAGGGAGGACAGGCAGTAAAGGGATGAGCCTGGACATATCAAGGGCAATTCAGTGATCAGCGAAGAGACCAAACACAGGACGGCCATTGACATACGTCAACAGCAGCGTGGGCCTAGAGACAGACATGTACAAATTACTCAAAAAAGGTAGTTAGGTTACTGAGTATCGAGGCCAAAAGTAGTTGGAGTAGAGTAGAAATTACGCATTTGTAATAGTAATTGAGTAAACTACTAACTACTGCAAAAAAGTAGCGAGTTACTTTGAGGTTACTTTCAAAGTTACTTTTTATATTATTGTGGCAGCATAAGGAACAGCAGTTTTGATCAGTGAAAAACCCTGCGAGCCTGAAATAAATGCAGTAATTTTATGACTTCCAATATAGTTTATTCGCTAGCAGAAGCAGTTGTCGTTCAGAGTTGTTATCGGAAAGTTTTCCCCTTTTCCTTCTAATGACGTCCCCAGTCAAGCTAAAAGACGTTCCACCGTGGCGCTGGATGCAAAGGCAGCGTTCAATTTCAGAAGCAGGCTGCGTGTGAGGCTTCCCTCGGCTAGAGGGTCTTTTATAACAAACTCTCCTCCTTTTTCCTTTTTTTTATTTGGCAAGTTGAGATTTTTATGACTGGCCGCTCTTTATTCTCACGACGTTTGGAGAGTTCGCCGAGCGAGTGCACCTGACCGACAAGGGATCAAGTCTTGCGCCACGACGATGGGATCATCTGAAAGACTGTGCATCTCGTTGCAATGTTAATGCTACGCCACTAAAGAAAAAAAATTGCTTTTCGCCGCTAACTTTAGGTTTAAGAAAAGGATCTCCCAAGGGTAACAAGTACAACGTTTTCAACAAAGAGGAGGTCTCCCTGGCGTGGAAGGTCGGAAGGACGCGAAGGATTACGTGACCAAGCAGGAAGCGGGAACGTGCTCCCATGAACGGATTATCCGTGTTTGCATTTGTGCGCGGGGGAGTCCGGCTTCGGAAGGGAGTATGCGCTGACTACGAGGCGACCATGAGAACAGGCGCCCAGCTGTGAGGTCATTCCAGTGGCCCCTACCGTGGAGCCTACCACTTGAGTCAGAACTCACTAAAGGCACACAACATGAAAACAATAACAATCCTCAGAGTGTCCCCGTCTTTCACGGTTGCAGCTGGAGGCGTGGCGCCTACGTGCATTACCGGATTAGGTCAATACCAGACCAAGGCTTGTTAAGCATCTCTGCCTGCGTTCGTGTGCGCCTGTGTTATATTTTGGCTGCTCGTCGCCACCTTGACCCAAGGACGCCTGTGATGCAGTTTCTACGTCTGCCGAGTATAAGTGGGTGGGAACGCAATGTGAGGGGGCCCCTTGTTCGGGAATGCCACTTCATCTGCCAGTCTTATTTATTTCTGCGCTCAAACATTTGTTATAAAAAAATTAGGATTAGATTTCGAAAGTAGTTAGTAATTTGAGTAGAAGTTACCTGAAAAACGTAATTAAATTAAACTACTAATTACCCAAATGAAGTTGTAATTGAAAGTTACCAGGTTACTCGGAAAAGTAGTTAAACTACAGTAGTTTGAGTTGAGTAGTTGAACTACATCTAAGTCTGCCTAGAGACGACTAAGGGACAGTAAGAGTGACATGCTTCATTGTAATTGTGTGACCATGCAACTTTTTGGAGTGAGCGAGCACGGCCTGATGGGATGGCAGTAGCGACCAAGCCACCCACAGCCTTCTTCAAGTGGTCAGCTGATCAACACACTACTTTAAAGCTGTTTGCATAAACATTTAGAGATATTGTCACAAATGGCAAGTGATGAAGCGGCGAATGACTGAGTAAACTGAACGTTTAATGGGGCAAACTTGTCCCCAAAACTAAAAGGGAACGGAAGATAACAGCAGAGCGTTGCGGGCGTCGAAGTCGGCGTAAGAGCAGAGTCGAACGCTGGGGCGAGACTAACTGCGGCTCGCCGTGCGGAGCCCCTTATGTACACGCGTGGGCTTCTGGAATAATCGGCGTAGAAGGTTCGGCGTGTAGAACATTCTGACCTCGAACAAGCCCAACACGGTTCTCGAATTTACCAGAACATTATGTTAGAGTCAACAAAAATGCGTCCTTGCGGCCAGGAATCGAACCCTGGCTTTCTGCGTGGAAGGCACGCGCGATAACCACTAGGCCACGAGCGGGCTGCCTGCCTTGTCAGCTGCGCTTGCAGCAATATATTAACCCCTAAATAATTTATCTATACCATTATTTAAATTAACTGCTTGTAAACTTGAGATCCAAAATAGTATGTTACTTAATTAAGGAAGTTATAGTATAGACGCACATACCTTTTTAACGATTTCTCCTGAGATCGGACAGCTTTTCTGACAAGTACCGCCGTATCTTCTGGTGCCGGGCTGCCCTTTCAGCCTGGCGGTACCTCTTCTCCCTCAGGTGTAGCCAAAAGCAGCCTGGAATATTGAAAATCCAGGGTAATAATTTTTTGCAGTGCTCAGACTTCAAATATAGAACATCATACATACAGGCTGGAGGGTCATAGTTTAAGAAGACCAAGTGTAAATTAGTCTCAATGGAAGTAGTTAAATGGCAGCTGGCACCTAACAAACCTTCAAAGTTTCTTAGTATTTACAGTGTTCAGAGATTACCATAAAAAGAAAAGTACTGCAGTATCCTGATTCATGTTCCACTCCCAATAGACAGCCCACCCTGGCTTTTGTTAGATTCTTTTAAGCACAAAACAGGTAGCCCATGTCTATAAATCTCACTGCTAGGCCAGTGACTTTGTAAGAAATAGGAGCTCCAGCTGTAGATAAGTAGACAATGAACATTGGAAACCGCCTACATTTGGTTGTCATCCCTCACTGTGGTAACAGCTTAGACAGGCCACAGAATTTAAACATAGCATCATGAACAGCACAAAGAACAATGCAGTTCTATATAAAAACAATCTCACATTCCTTGAAAGATCTTCCATTCATGGCCTGGCTACAATATTTATAACCCTTTTTGGTAGCACTCTACGAGGTAGACTAACTTACATTTTCACCAAATTTCTCAATTTTAGGTGAGGCTACCCTCAGGATATTAGAGCAATGCTCGTTTTTAGTTAACCTTCTAAAAGTCTCCAAGCCATTATTTCTTTACTTATTGCATAAAGTGATGTTTGCTTCTAGAACACTCACGGCAGTAGTCATAAGTATGCCCATATCTGATATAACAATCTGAGATCTCCATAACAAAGTAATCCTTAGGTTGGGAGTCACCTGAAGAAAGAAGAGAAATTGGTGGTTAAAATGAATTCAGAACATTTACCTACCTACAGTAGGCATACATCATGAAAGGTGCATTTCAATCCTGCAATATACATGTCAGCAAGCAGATTATGACCATAAGAAAATTAAATGCAAATGCTAAGAGGATCAGTTTACATTGCCTTTCTTCCCTGAAACTAATAGCCAATAGAATTGAATGCCTTTCACAGCGTGGGCTGTTAAAAACAATGAGGTGTTTGTTCCTGCATTGTTGCACATTTCTCTTTTACTTCAATATGCTGCTTTAATGTTTAATCCGATGCATTTTTATCCCCACTAAGAAAAAATAAGTAGATAAACAAAGCAAAACAAAAAAGTTTTCCTAATGCCGAAATTAATTTCCTCCAGGCATTAATTGGTGCTTTTCGAAGAAGTGTGCTTCCACAAGAAGTTACACAAATGCCAGAAAGTAGCTTACAGCAGATTTTAAAGGGGCACGAAAACGGAATTCCTGCACTCATTTCCTAGCTTGGATGTGGGCTATGTTGCAGCATCACCTCAAAAACAACAAACTTTCGTTGAAAGGCACAAGAAAACTAAATTTAAAGCTAATTATACAGTCTTTCAATGTGAACCTGGTGGATGCCTCCGAAGCTTCGTTGGGGATCTTGAAACATAGTCGTGACATAGCAAAAACCGCTATGTAGCTGCACTAAAACATCGGAGCAGCGCCGCTTCCTAGAGGTATACTCAACTGTTGGAGTAATCTTGCCCTGAACGCGATGACCTTGACATGACTTATCTCACACATGGACGCTTAGTCTGCTTAGTCCGCGTTGGTCCACGTAAAGCCCACAGGTGTTTCAAATGGCTAGGCGGTAACACGTCTACGCCACCACTATGCACCTGAACGGCACAGCTCGTAACCACGCCAGCTTTGCCAGATACCCCACAACGCATCGAGCTCTCCGTTGACTTCTCTTTGAGCACTTGCTCGAGTTCGCTGCTTAGAACGAAAAATAAAATCATCTGTTCAAAATACAAAGGTGCGATTATTATTTACGGTTATTATTTGTTATGCTTGACTTTCATCCTTGGCAGGGTACCCTTGTCACACGTCCAGGGGTTAGCAGACAACCTACTAGAGTAAAATCTCGGTGATACTAATTGGTATGAATTTCGGAATAAAACAAATTCGCAAATTCCCCAGCTGAAGCGCATTGTATACAACGTGCAAATTTTTTAATGTTCCGAATACCTCGACGCGCTGCGATGGCTGATACGAATGCGTGCTCCACAACCTACGGTGGCGAGGAGGCCACGATCGGCGACTGTAAGCTCCCAAGGCTCCAAGCGGCTGATTGCCTGCTGCTGCCAGGGATCAGCCATACTTTGTTTACCCAAAGACTTGAGCTCAAAATTACATGTGTTAGAATCGGACCCAAAAACCAAAACTAAACAAAATGCTAAAAAAACTCTGCAAAGTGGCCAGCCCCAGCACCACCAACACGTGTTTCAAGTCCAATCCAACCTGAATCCGAATTCACTGTTTTGTTTTTGCGATTTTGTGGAATGGTGTTTCAACCTTGGAGAAGCAAAACCGATTTTACTATAAGGTTACCTCTAAAAAAAAAAGATTGCGTAGGCAAAAACAGAAAACAAAGTGATGTTGGTGGTGTGTTCGGTGTGGTCCACAGTGGCATGCGAGCTTGGTTGGAAATATAAAAGAGCCGAATTTTCGCTCGCAAGTTTTCGATGTAGGGCTTCACCAGCACTTAGTGTGTGCACTTCCCGAGTATGTGCATTTGATAAAATGCTTTTCACGAAATGTATGTTGTTCAGCCGTCATTATTTTATCTGCGCGGTAGAATCGCCATTAATCAATTTTTTTAACATTCGTGGGTTGAATATAACTGCGTGTTACTATCGGGGACATGTCAGAATCGTGCAAATTGCATACAAGATATTTCTGCCATAAATAAATGCACATTCATGCATTCCTTGTGCTTCAAAATATAAATTTTGTTTCGCTTTCATTGATGCGAATTTAACATGAAATATTTTACGCGACTACGCGAGATTCGTATCAAGCTTTTAAACAAAATGTTTGCTTAATGAGAGACCCTGCACCTTGTGAGGAGTGAGTGAGGCAAACACCTTCTCTTGCCCCGCTGCCTTTGCCTTGTTGGAGAGGGTGCCGGTCACCGACCTCTCCAAAAGCACTTCCACTGGCCGTATGGGAGCAGCAGCAATCTTGCAAAACATGGAGTCGCACTCTGCCTTCTGCATGATGCCCGGATTCCTGGTTGACGTGCACACCTTGTCTGACATGGATAAACAAAAACGAGAAACAGCTTCACACATACCAATCGTTGATGCAGAGTGGTACTGTATACTCCAAGATGCATTTAAAATGCACTAAAATAATTACATGCATGGAATTGAGGCCTTTAAATTTAAAACAGCGCTACCTATGAATTCCTATCTTCGTGGGCATCTGCAAAGCTGATGGGCCTACAAAGCTTCATGGCATTTGCATGAAACAGGTATGTAATCCCTTAGTTGCATCAGGTGAGCGTGACTATAGAATGTTTTCCAGGCCCTGGCTATAACTACAATTAAGAGCGCGGCAACAATAATGTTTTAATGACTTCTGGTTGCAATCGATTCAATTTAATGTGCTTACACTATCCCAGGAGTGGCCAAACTGAGGCTCGCGAACCGCACGTGGCTCTTTGCAAGTCCATGTGCGGCTCGCGGCTCCCTGGAAAACGTGTCCCTATGACGCGTGTCCCCTAGACGAAAAGAGTTCTAGAATTTAAAAAGAGCTCACAGTCTTGGCAGCCTTGCAACACACTAAATACATACAGCTTGAATGGTTTTTGCCACAGATGCATCCAGTGACCCTGTTTTCTATATTGTTCTAAAAAGACTTTCAACCGTATACGCATAATGGTTGTCAGGGGCAGTGACTGGCTAGTGAATCGTGTATTAATTTTTGCTTAGCGGTGGAAAAGACCTCCTGATACCTAGTGTTATTTGTTGTAGTCGCCAATTATACTTCTCCTCTTTGGAAAGAACTGTTTGCTCCATATCGTTTCTTGTTAAAAATTGCCCCCCCCCCCCCTTTCTTTTTTTCCTGCGGCTCTAACTCCATGTCACTCTGGCCACCCCTGCACTACCCTAACCCCTTTAATGTATATCATACACTGCATGAAAGTGCAAATTTTTTTATTTTACCATTCCACCCTTATTCTGGAGGCCGATGGTAGGATCCACAATCTCATTCTTCGCAAGGGTGTCCTCGTCAGCAACTGAAAAACAATTTCACATTAAAGGAGTACAGAAACCAAATTCCAGCGCTCAGGTTTAAGCTTTAATGTGTTGCATGTTGCAACATAACCTCAAAAATACCAGTCTTTCGTTGAAAGGCAAAAGCAAACTAATTTTAAAGCTAATTATACAATCTTTCTATGTGCACCTGGTGGATGCATGTGGAGCCTATCTGGGAGGTCATCTAGCAACATTGGGGAACTTGCTACGTAGTCATGGCGTTGGAAGGACATTCCTCGGCCATCCTGCTCAGCAACAGAGCGCAGCCACAACAGTAGAGTAGAGAGCTCTTTGCCGTATATGCCTTCTTTCTCAACATTATTTTTTTCCACCCTTTATGAATAAATATCCTCTATGCAAGATATAAGTGATGATGTGTTGCATATTGCTGCACGCATAGCTGGCCAAGTGGGCAGCACGGCCGTGGCCTGACGGTTATTGTGCTTGCCTCACACGCGAAGAGCCAGGGTTCGATTCTTGGACGCGACACATCTTTTATATTCTTGCAATTTACTGTTCTGGTAAATTCGAGAACTCTGTTGCATGTTCGAGGTTAGAATGTTCTATGCGCGAACCTTCTACGCCGATTGTTCGAGAAGCCCACGCATGTACAAAAGGGGCTCCGCGTGGCAAGCCGCAGTCAGTTTCGCCCCAGCGTTTGACTCTGCTGTCATGCCGACTTCAACACCCGCGACGCTCTGCTGTTATCTTCTGTTCCCTTTTATTTTTGGGCACAAGTTCGCCCCATGAAACGTTTCGTTTTTTCAGTTATTATCGCCTCATCACTTGTCATTCGTGATATATGACATGTTTGGCTCTATCACCGCACAGTGAACTTCTTTCATATATTGCAGGCACATTAAAAAAGTTCCCTTTTCATTGCTAAAGCATGGGTTCTGTTAGTATGGTAAACATACGAGTACTCAAAGGTAAGGCCATAAATGACTTACGTGTTAGGCAGTAGGGCCCTATAGTGCCTCCCGCATCAACTGGAAGCTGGGCTGCAGTATAGTCCTGCAATTGATAGAGCAGGGTGGGTCAGAGAAAGGTGTTTCTAGCAGCTATGCATGTGTGCCCCCTAGCAGCAGTACTCACGCACATTGTTGCGTGAGTACTGCTGCGTGAGTATGCACATTGTTGCGTGAGTACTCAAGCACAACATTCCTCATCAACAAATCATGACAACACATTGTTGCGAGTGTCAAATTGGGTCCTTGTGCTATTCCTTGTGATACAGTTGATTCTTTGGTCTCCCTTGTAACTCCCGACTGCTTTAGTGGCCTTTAGGAAATAGAGAAGGCTTGGTAAACTGCAAAGCTTTGCGTGAGTGGTGAAACAGAGCAATCCCAAGGAAGTATAAATGTTAAGGACTCGGCATGACATTACGCTGAGTGTTGGGATTCCCAAGCTGCTTTCAACACTCACATTTTGTGCATGATCGGCTCTCGTTCTGCATCAGTTGGACCGGTTAGTTGTGTGCCCGTTTTGGTCGCTGCTAGCCATATGTGGCTGGCGCTGCTTTTGAGAGCCCCGCAATATCGTCACTTTCAGCCTCTGTCCTGACATAGACCGCAACTAAAAATTTATTTAGCGCTAAGATTTATCTTTCGGTCACTCCCAGCAAAATAGGCTGCACCACATTTACATAGACAGGTGACATTACATATTCTGGTGACAGAATTTCCGCAAAAAAACACTTTGCATTAGAGGGCACAAGGGCTGACCTTTTTGGGAGGTGCAGCTTTGTGTGAACTTGCAGATGCCTCAGCTGCATGTTCCCGCCTGGGCAGCTCAGTTGCCATTTCCTCTTGGGTTCCTAGTAGGTACATTTGTGATCATGAATAAATAAATTGGTTAGGAAGCAATGGCAGCTGATGCAACATCAATGCAAGCCATGTATTAAATTACTTGCATGGATTGACGTTGAATGAGCCACGATTGTGCACCTTAAGTTCGTGCTGCGGAGCGCAAGAGTTTGGCGCTCTATTCATTAAATGGAAAGAAGCGCCACCAGAGACTGACACTCGAGCGCGCTCTTCCTGCACCGAGTATTTCTCAAAATGCAAGTGACTTCTTCGCGCTGACAGAAACATTGTCAAGACGAGGAGTGCAGTGGACCGCTGCCTCATTTCAGTTAAAGAAAGCTTAATCCAGCAAATAATTATGATTTGATTTGAAAGCCAAGACAGCAATTGGCATTACGGAAAAGGTTTGTTCCTGAATCTCGCCTGAAAACAAATTAATCTATCGAACAGTAGCGTTATAATAGTACAGCGACAGAAAAGTTGCCGGGATGAAAAGACCGTCGTATCGCTGCCCTTTGTAGAATGCACAGCCCTGCAAATAAGATACTTCGATTGGAAAGCGAAAACATTGCGGAAAAGGTTTGTTCATGCATCTCGCCTGAAAACTAATAATGTGCTATTCATTAAACGGTGGTGCGCCAGTATGGGAGTAGCCCATCGACAGGTTCCATCTCGCGCTGCAAGACGGAAACCCAAGATATCTGACAAGATTGAGAGTTTCTTGATTTGACAAGCGAGTTCAAGAACGTTGTCTTTCATTTAAATCTGAACAACATGCATGGTCAATAAATAGATCGGTCAAAGTAACATTCAGCATAAGTGGTCGAAGCGAGTCTTCAGAGCTTTCAGAAATATGGAAACATTCGTAAAAATTTCCTAACGTCGCAGCGCATTTTTTTTTCTTTTACTCTGCTGTTTTACAGAGCCCTTAATCAATTTATCTTCAAAATAATTTCGGCATCCGCGAGATGCTGGATTCGTCATAAACATGCGGTCTGAAGTGGCTCATACAGCTCGTCGACAGTTTCGGCGTGTTGCGACACCGTACGCTATGCTCCGTTTAGTTGCTGCGCTCATATGATATGATATCTGTGCAAGGCAGTTAGGCTGCCTTGTCTGTGCAAGGCAGTTAAGGCAGCTGTGCCCATATGATGTCACGTGCAAGGCAGTTAAGTCCCCACGTTTTCAACTGAAGTTTTAGACAGCCCATGCAATCATCTGCCTAGCTTGGTGCCCCAAATAAGCACAGTCCACAATACTCCATTTTCACCACAGTCGCAATAAAAATTAAAGAAAACGGCGATTGCTTGTGGCTACGTCGCACTTTGGGATGGTAAAAATACACACTCACCCGTCAGTTTGGGGATCTCGGCGTCGTAATAGCCTCCAAAACACCTTGTACACCGTCCTACGCTCGAAGTCGGCCACATTCGAAGGATTGCAGTTCCTAAATAAGGCCTTATGGACGCCGCTTATTTTTCCGTTCTCGCAAAATCGAGTGAAACCTACCTAAATATCAAAAACCTCGAAAACACTCCACGACGATGGGCGAGGCTGCCAAGGTAACAAGACGCATGAAACACCTGGATTTGGATTTGGATTCAAAGCTTTTGAAGACGCAGTTGCTCGAACGGATATAAGCGGCGAACGGTTTTCAAAATGTACGTAAAGTATAGATTAAAATGAACGGATTGTCGAGTGTCAAACACTGCGTATAAACTTGATTGGGAACATTTTTGACAGAAATTAATCAAGTGTCAACACTGCATATAAAGAAGCTGGCGGTAACTAAAAGGAAATTGGAAGATTGGTAAAAAAAATCTAGGGAAGGATAAAAAAAGATACATATAAAAATAGGCCATTAATTTAATTTAAAAGAGAGGGGGGTCTGTTATAACTAAATGCATACAAATTAAAAAAAAATAGAAGGGATGACGAAATGTTAGGCTAGGTGGCGCAAGCTGAGCCCGTTCAAAGGGTATAGACGCTTTGCAGCAGCTGTGCATGGACACCGCCATAACTGACCTTCAGTTTTTGTTTCCTCTTATTTCGTTTATTTAACTTCATCATTACAATAGCAGGCCAGGTTATTGCCATATTGGACTCAACTGTGTCCTTTTCTAATAGCGAGTTCTTTTCACGGCACTCGTGCCCACGCGTACCCACTCGCAGCGTGGAACGGGTTCGTTTCGGCCGGCACTCCACGAGTGGTTGCACTCTCCGAGTTCGTTTCAGCGCTGACACCCCACGCTTGCATGCACTCGCTGCACCGAGAAAATCGGGAGTGCGCCAAAATGCAATCCCGTCATGCCTAGCTCCGGCGGGGCCGGCGAGGAGCGGGAGCAGACGACGAGGGTTCGTCTGCTACGATGTGTCGCGGAACCGAACGGGAAAAAAAGTAGATTTTCTGATAAAAATCGGGTCCCGCGGGCCACGAAATCAAACGCGAGCTTGAATTGTGAGCGTCTGCTATTTCCCGAAGAAAGCAATTGACAACCCGTGATTTATTTGCAGGTTTTAAATCGCTCTGTTGCCGTACAAACGCTGAAATATACCAGTGTGTAAAGAAATGCTAAAAACAAACGTAACAGCGGCCCCCGAGATGTCTATCACCATCCGTGTGCGGGTGAAAAATTTAACATTTGTCGACAAAACTCCCCCAGCAGAAACCTCTGACTACCCAATAAGCATCAGAGAAAGCTAAAGATGGAGACTTTACCCGAGGATTGGGCAACATCATCATGTTTAACATTTACCTACGTCAGCTAACTTGCCCCGTCGTATTTTGTTCGAGAAAGCTCTCGTTCTCGATGCCCTCACCAAGGCTAATATCTAATCCACCTATAATGACGATCCAAATTGAAAGTCCCAGTTTTGCTGGATATTCCAACAGGCTAGTTTTAAGCCGTACCCTTTCAGTGGTTCACGAATAATACCATGCTCAAACGGATCAAGCTTCCGCTCGGACAGCATCATCAGTTTTCTTCAGTGTAAACGGTTATAAGAATTGAAAGATCGCAACCAGCTGCTTTGTAGACAGCTGGTTGCGGAAATTTACGCCGTCTGTAATTATCTCTACGGCAGCCTAGCTGCTTGAAGCCATCGCAACTATAAACTACAGGTTGCAGCGACCAACGTTCGTAGATAAACGTTGGTAGCGACTGCATTCTCGCATTCCCACGCATCACTCTGAACAGAAAGGCGCTAGTTTCGGTTTGAAGTCGGTACCTTTTCTACAACATAGATGGCGGCAGCGTCAGTCTTCTGCACTCGGTGCATTTGGCGAGTTCGTTTGAGTCCAGTTTTCCGTGCAACACTCTGTGAGTGCGATGCATTCTGGGAGAGAACTCGAACCGTGCCAGTGCGTGTGAAACGAACTCGCTATAAAGCATCGGCCTTTGTAGGGGATCGTCAACTACCGTTTCAGTTGCTCGGCATCTCAGTAAGACTAGAGAAGGTCAGCAATGGCGGCTGTAATTTGGCACGTGTGTAAAGCGTCTATACATACACGAACTCATCTCTGTTACGTCACGCCGCAGTGGTGGCGCGTCGGACGCACTTCCGGTCCGGGGCTGTGGGCGGAAGTGCTCATGTGAGACGTGTATTCCTGCGTTGTTTTGAAAGGAACCAGACAGAAACCTGCCTTCTCGTCAAAATGCTGCGACTGGGGCTGTACCGAAAGTGTCGAGAAAGATTTGAAGGTCATTTTTCATGTGCTCGGTTCGTCCGAGAACGCGGATATGTGCCGTGAAAAGGGAAAACCAGACGCCGTCGGACCACGATTGCTTGGGCGGGAGGCATTTTGGGTTGAATTCACGGATACTTCTGGTCATCAAATTCATTTGTTTTGTTTCAAAATGAGCGCCGGAAAATCGTCAAGTTGTACGGACCACTTGCGGACTACGTTCAGTGCGTCTTCAAGTTCAAACGGCCGCCTGATTGTTCGAACTGTCGTCTGCTCTTTCAAACGTTTCTGCTTGTCGTCTGCTCCCTTAGATGACGCCGGCCCGTAGATGAAACGTGGGCCTGTTACTTGCGATAAGAAGTAAGTGGAGGCCTCAAAAGACTTAAGTTTGAAGGTTGGTAAGCAGGCTGGACGTAAACAGTAGATACAAGGAGATGTTGATCATTGTTACCAGTGGCCATTGTTATGCCTGATTCACTTGGTTAGAATCTGCTTGCGATTTTCAGTTTTGACGTCGACATTCCAGCTACGGTTCACGCTTTTGCAGTCCGAGTGACGTCGCTACTGAAAATTGCGAGCGAAATTTCATCATGTGAATCAGGCTTTAGCGTACATTCTGCGGCGTCCACGTGGAATGAATCGCCACATGTCAGATGATTCACGCAAAGTTTTGCGGTGTAACGAGCCTCGGTAATTTCGCTGACGCCGCTCCAGTAGTCAGACATTGTTAGGAGGACGTAGAATCAACAATTGCAACGTCAAAAAGAGCGTGGGGACTCACACCGACGCCGACAACATCGCATTTCAATGGTTTGTTTATGGGCGACGGCGAGCTTCTTGCCCACACCCCCATCGCGCATGCGCGGCGCCGGTGGCGTCTGCTAGGGGCGCTCCGGGCGCTCCGGTTTGTTTGTAAACATGAGTTGGTGTATATATAGCCATATACGGCTCTGGGTATAGCCATTACCATCCATCCATCCATGCATCCAAGCGGCTCCGACAGCGCCGTCAGCAGCCGATACATTAAAGATTAGTTCATGATTTACAAGTGCGTTGGCACAACTACGCCAGAGCTGTATATGTAGAGAGTTTGGTCAATGGGAGGCGCAAGCAGAACCAGGGCGTGCGGCAGACTCAGAAAGTGGGCTTGGCATGCTCTCTTGACCAACCAGAAGCCGAAAAGAGTTCCCTAGCGGTGGTAGCAAGAAACAGTTCTAATCAAAGGTCTATGTTCGTATATGGTTTTAATAAGCGCGTAAGAGTGAAGTGTAGTAACTCTTTGTGGTTGAAAAAAGGGTGCACGTGTTGTTTTGATCATGATAATGCAGAAAGATGTAAGAAACGATGCGCCGCTCAACTCTGTTTTGCGCGGACAGAGGTGACCGCTCGGACGACAGATTCCGGCCCTCGGCGCTTGGCGTACGGATTGCGTCGATCGTTCCGCTAGTCGCACTCTTCCACCATCATTTTGGATGCGCGTAATTGAAATATCACGTGTACCATATTTTCAGCCACCGAGAGTTACTCCAATGCAGTTATCAGGTTTGTTTCTCGCGACCACCGCCAGGGTATTATTTCCGGCTTCTGGTTGGTCACGTTCGAATTTCTGAAGACGCCCTGGAACACGCCCAGCCCGCTCTCGGCCAATGGCGCCTCCTCATTTGTCTCCTATACCTCCCAACAAATGGCCAAACTCTCTACATATACGGCTCTGAACTACGCGAGTGGCGGAGTGGTACCGCGTCGGGCTGGTGAACGAAAGGCCTACCAAAAGACAAAAAATAAATATCTATTTTTTTTGCATTTTTATTATATCTATGGTGGTGGTGGTGGTAAAGACTAGGGGTGTCGCGAACTTTTGTCGAACCAGATTTTTTGGTCAAACTTTCGGGGTTCGACTGGGTTGAACCGGTTCGACGAACCTTCAAACTTTTCACCAGATTCGACCGGTTCGAGCAAGGAGGGTAGGAGAGGGCATGACGTCAACCGCGAGGCTCCACAAGCCATGCCCCCTTGACGCCTCGCCTCTTTCTCATTTTTCTCCTCACTTTCCTCACTTTTCAGGCGAACGTAACCACGTCACGTGACCGTAGCTAGCCTTCGTCTAGCTATGGTGTACTAGAATACACCACAGCCTAGCCTTCGATCTGATAAAACTTACCGGACGGAGCGCGCGCAAGCCTGCAAGGGAACCTCCTAGAATCAACCATCCATCTCACACGTGACATGTCACGCGCACCAATCGCCAGAGAGATCTGCGGTAACGCTGGGCACAAAATCGTTTAAACTTTTTATGACTAGGCTTCACCAGTACAGCAACGTGCCCTCTCCTAGTACTTCTAACCTCCTTGGGTTCGACGTTTGACTTTGTGGACAGTGTGGCCAGACCTTAATGCAAGCATGTCTATTGTTTGGAAAGTTTTTTTTATGCAGAGGGTTATTTTATATTGTGAACACCTGCAAATAAAAGAAACTAATTCTAATCAATGAAGAAGTTAATAACTTTATTGTTAGTACTCTATTAACTGAAATAGCCAATCAGTGCTGCACTTAATTCATCTCTTAGCCATTATCATCCAATCTGAAGCCAACTGGTCAGCCTGTCGCGCATGCGCACACGAGTCGAACCTGAATAGAAGGTTTGTCGAACTTTCCACTAAAAGTTCAAAAAAGTTGAACCTGGTCGAACTCGAACCCCGGCCGCTTCGCGACACCCCTAGTAAAGACTTTAATGGACCTCTTGGCAAATATATGCTGCCACCTAGACACACGACTGGGTTCGAGGCTAAGTGTCGAGAAACAACGCGCACGCAAGGCCTCTCCC